AAATTCTATGAATTATTGTTCATAAGGTGTAAAAACAAGAAAATGAAAAGCTATCATACGAATTTAAAAAAAGAGGATCATAGTGACCTACTTTTCATTTATCAAAAGATGCATCAGCTAATAAAGTGTGACGTATAGTATTCAGCATATGTATAAAAACAACATTTGACGATAAATAACTATTATGTAATGGCTGAAGTATGTCAAGGTAACGCACTCTTTGGTAATCACATCTGAGCTTAAAGATGCATCACAGACCTGGGGTAATGGTAATGTGTAATGGTAATGCATTGTAATCATTACATTTTTCAAAGTAATTGGGTGTAATGTGTAATGGATCCATCTTTCAATTACAAGTAATTGTAATGTAATACATTACTTTCAAAAATGTGTCAGCAATGACCATTACTTTTCAATTTCATTTCAGTTACATTTTGTATTTTAATATCTTTTCAATACTGAATCTTAAACAAAGCAAGGCCATTGAGAGTTGTTTTTTATTTATAATGTTTTAAAAAGTCTTAAAATTAAAATCCTATACCTTATTTTTTTAATGTTAATCCATGGTGATTGATAGACAATATACTAAATAATTGTTTTAGTAGAAAACTTCTTTACAAGACAGTTATAAAATCAATTGAAGAGAGTCAGAAAAAAATATTAAAAGAACTCATTAGGTTTCAAAGATAGCCACAAAACAAGTGACATTAATACATGTACTATACTGTGAATACCAATTAAAATACAGACTATATTTTTCAATTTGATTTTTTTTTCTTTTTATGAAGTTCATTCTGATAAAATGGACTTTAAAGCAAGATACAAGATCAGTATGACCTACTTGAAGACACAAATGGAAACTAAGGCCAAATGTAAATACATGATATTGTCCATCATTCATTTTTGGTAGCTTGAGAGTCACATCTAACTTCAAACCCTATATCTAGGTACCAGTAATTATCACCTTTGATTGTGTTAAATTTATATCTTCATTGATTGTGTCTGCTCAGCTAATTATGAGTGCCAATTAATTAAATTATTGATACATACTTGTTTTACAATTATAGAATTATCTGTTGATTAAATATCACTTTATATAAAACATAAAGTATGAAATGTTTATTATGTATTTAAAAAAACATCAGAGACTTAACAAAACTACAACATTGAAAGTGTTCTAGCTGATCCACTTTCTTTGTCAACTGTAGATAGGTAAACTACATGAACATGATAAATGAATCCAAAATCCAAATACCACTCTGACTTATAGACCTGAGGGAAAGCATATTAACCGAGAACAAAGTGTGAGAAAGTTAATTTATGGATAAAAAAATTGTGTGGTCATAAAATTTGTGTTTTTCTTTTATAAAATGTAATGTGTAATGTAATTCATTACTTTAACAAAGTAATTGTAATCTGATTAATTACTTTTCTAAATGAGAGTAATGCTAATGGTATTTGTAATGGTAAAAACTTCCAAAGTAATTGTAACTTAATTCATTACATTTCAAAGTAATTGACCCCAGGTCTGATGCATCAACTAACAGAGTTTGTCCTACGTGTAAGTCTTTAGTTTGCAGAATATATCATAATTCGATTTGATAAAAATGAGTGTAAACTTTCAGGAAAAGGTCACCATAACCTACTTTTAAGTTGATAAATCTTTACACCATTAGACGAATAGTCACCCGCGTGGCGCAGTGGTTAGAGCGTTCGCTCTAGAGTAACGGAGTAAGGAGTTGATCCTTACGTCGCGGGTTCGAATCCCATTGTGGGACGTGGAGACCGGTCCTTCGGATGAGACCGTATAAACCGAGGTCCCGTGTCTCAGTAGGTGTTGGCACGAAAAAGATCCCTCACTGCTCAATGGCTCCAAGTGCCGACTATAGATAAAAATTTGCAGCTCTCCACCGGCAAGTGGTGGCGTCTCCATAAGGGTGAAAAATTCTCGAGATGGGCATTAAACATTAAAACAAACAAACAAACATTAGACGCATCAACTTACAAGGTTTGGTGGACTTTGGACTCATAAAGAGCAGGATATGTATCTTACCTAGGATGTGTATCTAAGCACAAATGGCGTGCATATGTGCAGTAGATTATTTTAATCCAGATTATTGTATTTACTAAGTTTACAAAATGAAATACATTCTATTTTATCCTGTTTAACATATTGAACATTTTACTGCTAAGAGAAATGAGAGTTACTAGATGATGCTAACACAAAAAGAACGAATTTACAAGAATAAAGCAACATAGAAGTAAGGACAAAATGAAGAATTAAAAAAGTTCAAAGTGAAATGTAATAAAGACGAATATAAAAAAACAATAAAGTGACATATAGTTACAATAATAACAAAGAATAAAGAAGTAGGCAGAATAAGAATAAAAGCAAGATAAATAGACTTTTGGCGGTAATTCCCTTCCATAAAAAACAGCCTAAATTTTAGCTTAATATTAACACTTTTTTTGTAATATTTAAAGAGTTACTTATTTTCTTTTTCTGAATATATAAGATAACTTTGACCATTCTGCTTAAATTAAGTAAAAGCTTAAGACTTTAAAATAATTTTGTTGCTTGTTACATTTTTGATGCCAGAAAAATGACATTTATTAATTATTTTTTTCTTGTGTCCCTCTTACCTGTTGACTGTCCTTTCGTTCCGTTGACGACATAGATCAGTTGTTGAAATTACTTTGGCTGTTAGTTTTAGCCAGCGTCATGATGTTTTATTCACTCTCGCTTTGTATGGGATGTAATATTTTTTTTCACATTTTTTAATCAAAGGGAAGGATTTTTGTTGAGAACTTCTTACATTTGTATTTTCACAATGTGAAAGTAATGCATTGTTTTTCACACTGTGAAAAGGGTACTTTTATAGTTTTCACACCTGTGAAAATATTTTTTTTTTCATCTAATACATTTCAACTAATAAAATTTCAAGTAGTCAAATTTGTAATGTAATAAATATAAAAACCACACATATGTATAATATACAACTTTCAGTTTCTTTTGAAATTGTGTAATTTTATAATCGCAGTTAAAAGAAATATCAATAGACGCATGTATGTACTTGTAAAACGAAAAATATGTTTCAAATAATATATTAAACGATTTCATGATTTTATAATTTTCACAATTGTGAAAAGGACAGGAATTTAATATTCCGTTGTATTTCCAGTAATAGGTGCCTTTGTATGACAATCACTCCTCCATGGCACCTATTCCCATCCCTGATGCTTTCAGAGGCCCTTGTTTGACCGCTCCCAATTTTTATTGTTTCAATGGACTCTTGAGCTTGATCATACTGTTCGTTATCTCCAGATTTCATTTATTTAATCTGTTGATTTTAATGCTTTTCACTCGTAAAGTTGGTTTATTAGAGATTGATTCAGAACTATTTCTGCAAAAAGTTCAAGTTCATTATTTTATTATTATCAGAACTATTTGTTCTACCAGTCTAAACAATTATGTAGCTTATGCTGGTATTTAGGCCAAAGTCACAGTTTCTTATGTGTAATCCATTTACCACAGAGTCACTGAGGTATTGGTATTTATTTCTGGAAATCGTTTTGAGTAGAAGGGGTAGAAGGAGTCTATTCACTAAAATTTCATATTCCAAAATATGAATGGGCTACTGCAAAAAAGGAACAGAAGTTCACAGAACCAGGTTTTTCTAGAAAAACGTCATTTTTACCCAATTTTATCTCATTTTTACCCCAATTTGAAAAATTGAAAATTTCAAAATCTTTTTGCAATTGTTCAAAGCACCATCACTCATATTCCAAAAGATTAGTTACTACTACTTCAAATATAAGAAGTTTGAGGAAGTAGATAGTGTGACAGACGGACGGACCAAGATAATAACAATAAACTCGAGCTTTCTTTAGACAGTGCCAACTTTTGGGCCAGACCAGGCCGATCGTACAACGCCGGGTTTTGTGGTATGCCCATGCAAAATTCTTCACGAAACGCTGCCATTATTTAAAATGTTAGCCACTGTTTCGCCATTTAACGGCAATAAACCCAAAGGCAATGAAGATTGAATAAGTTTTTAATAAGGTCAAACAAAATGTTATCGGGAAAAAGGGGTAATTAACCCTAAAAAAAATAGATGATAGCCGATGAAATGACAGTCATGTTAAGTCTTTGGCTGCTGTGGAAGCCAAGCGACTAATATAACTGAAGCGATAACAATTGTGTCATTCTGGTTTTTTCGTGCGTTTGCAACAGCCCAATCAGCCTGCTTTGAATATTGCCTTTTAATGACTGCACTAAATTGCCCCAACAGCTTAATTTGATCGGTAATGTAATTCTTAATCTGGAGGCAGTGGAACTTGATAACAGTTTGCTTTTCGTGTTGGTTTCCCTTCAGTGCTTTTGATGATGTTATGAAGAAGCAAAACCCGAAGACACATATATCTCAATATGTACCTTGCTCCATGGCGAGCTCTCTTCCTTTGACATTTCACAAGTTTATAATATCAAGGCTAAAATGTCACAGCGCTCAAAGGGATACCGTGGTGACATACTGCAGTCATTATCTCTTACATAATTGTTCATAAAATATATTTCTGCTTGTCATGTCATGGAAATGTTTGGGCCTTTTCTCCATCTATCTGCAATTTTTTCATTTCTTATTTCTCAATAGCCAGCAGTAAATTAAATATGTACCACGTGATATTTTTTTAAGACAAAGGGACCTTTTTATGTATGTACAATGTATTTTTTTTCCAAGTGTTATGAGGACTAATTTCTATATCTCTCATAATTTTCAGAATCCATATATGTGCTTTATATACTATTTTAAAGAAAGTGCTGTTCCTCGGCTGTTCATTTTCTCGATTGATCCGAGCTATGAACAATTAATGGCTGCGGTGAAAAGGTGGGAAGTCATGTCACTACAAAGGGAGCCGGTAACACTCTTTGCTCCGTGTTTATTGAATATTGATATTTTTTTTCATTAAAACCACATTACTTATCAATTACCAAAGCAAGTAAATGCCTTGATTTTAGCGTAAACATTACTACAGAGTTCATATGAAATTAGCGAGAACATTAAATCGATTACCATAATATGTGATCTTGTCTTTCGTTCAATCATCAATCACCCAGTCCGCTGTACAAAGCGACCAGCGATGTGTACTAACTTTTGGAGCGTTCTGTAGATAAAGTGAGCGTATTAAAGGTACATGGAGATCCTTTCACGTGTTATTCTTCCTAGCAAGATATAGGACCAACAATCCATTCCCCTTCAAGATTATTTACAGAGGAAGTATCCGATGCATGCGGCGACAAAATGGACAAAACACTTTTGACTGCACATCGAAATTTGTTAACAGTGGATAGTGGCTATCACGGACGCCGGAGGAATTCGGCGACACTTCTGACCCCAGGAGTCTCTAGTCCTCTTCTTCAAGTTCGACAAAATGCTCCCCGACGAAATAGCATGCCAGAAAATGTTTACCTTAATGGTGACAATTCTCTGGATTTGGAACGAGTAAGGTCATTTCGAATGACAAAATCCGGTATTGTAAATAGAGGTGATAGGATTCGCCGCAAAAGCACAACGAGTATAAGTTCCGCCGGAAGTAACGTCAGCGGTGCTAGTTACCAAGATGTGACAGCACCTCATCCCTTGGAAATTAGTGACGGAGAAATGAACTCTGACCCTGAATGTTTTTCTGTGGCAATATTAGGAGCGCAAGGGGTTGGTAAAAAGACGTTGAAAACGCAGTTTATGACATCAGAGGCTATCTGCACCAGCAACACCTCGATAGGTAAGGTAAACCAATATTTGACAAAGTAAAAAGTCTCGGCAAATAGAACATGAATAGACTACGCAGTACAGTTAAGGCAACATTTTCTATCAAAAGGCACCAAAAACGAGACACGTAAAGTTCAACCGTTTTATTTTTTAGCATGAAACTCTATTTGAAATATCTTAATGGCATTTTGAAGAGTATGTTCATCGCTTTTCATATCAATATTTTTTGTCATCTTGTGACCCTCTACAGTCACGTGGGATAAGATTTTGGGTCAAAATATGAAATGTCAAATTTAACCAAAAAGTGCAAGGGCAAGGCAAGCAAAAAATAAACTGCAAATTGTTTCAGCGTGTCTCTTGATATCTACCCTATCTCAAAACTGATGCTCATTCAGTTAGATTTCTGAGATATTTAAGTTAATCATTAAAAACAAACACCAGTATTCAAAAAATTGGGTATTTTCATAATTTCATCGGAAATTATAAATTACCTAATGAATTACAAAGAAATGAGCATCACTTTTTAAAAACTATACAGTAAAATAAAGAATTTAAAATAAAAACCTACCTCTTTTGTTGTCGCCTTGCCCTTGCACTTTTTGATTAAAAATTGAAATCTTGACACATTCATTCTAAATATAGTTTTCAAACGCATCATTGACCCAGCATGGGAGATAACTCTCTAGTACTTTATAGAGTTTCTGTACCTCGCAAAGTTTAAACAAATAATACCTACGTACTGTGCTGGGCTTCTTTTCGCTAAATCAAAACGTTATGCATAAAAAAATCCTTGACTTTACTTTGTTTTGTATGTCTTCGTTCTTTCATAAGCTACACAAGACGTCTTTGACACCCTCCGCATTTCCTCCATCCACAGGCCTCTGAATTTCTATCAATAAGCCGTTATATGATTGATCGGAGTAATATATATATATATTTATATTCCCTCTATTATATATAAATACATATATATGTATTTATATATAGAGGGGGTATATATATCACTCTGATCAATCATATAACGGCTTATTGATAGAAATTCAGAGGCCTGTGCTCCATGATATAATGTTCACAATAGGCCTAAAATTTTCCGCAACATCCATCATGTGTGCCCATGGTTAAAAATATTGAAAGATTCAATCATTTCTAATAAACAATAGACAACCCCTATCAATTAAGTAAGTATTTATACTCCCTCCCCCAGTACACACACAAATAAAAAAAATCTCCAACAGAACTAAGTTTGTTTGTTTGTTTTTTTTTTTACATACATTCTATGTGATTCTCGTAATATCTATCAAACCTTCTACTGTTCAGGGATTCTAGACTAAGTTTTGTAGAACCACGAGGAAGGGATTGGAGTGCTTACACATGTAATTAAGAACATGTTTTCCTTTCTATAGATCTAGCCCCCCCCCCCCCCCCCCACCACCACCAGTTTGCTTTTGGCTCCTTTGATACCAAGTACCGTACTTGCGTGTTAAAAATAAATTATTATACCGTGTTTACATCGGGTTTTACTTCTTTAGGTACTTTTAAATTAGCACAATTCAGGGGTTGGAGGGGGGGGGGTTAATCTCCTTTTTTGAGTTTCTATCAATCCATGCACAAACAAGATAATCATAGGAAAAACTTTGTAATCAAGAAACAGATACTCTGTTAAAAAACAAGTGAACACAATATACATGAAATTTAGATCTTTTTGGTACCTAAAACAACTAAATACATGCAAGTTAAGATTTTCAAATCTTAACAGCCTTCAAACTTTCACACCACTGTACAGTTAAAAAGTCAAAGTTGTATTTTTCTAGAAAATAAATTTAATAAACACAGCTCTTCAAATTCAAAGGCAGGCTGTGAATGGAATTCTGAGCAGGTGCATATTTCCGTTCATGTTCCTTTGGATGAAATCAATTCTGAAAACAAAATGAAATACCATTATGGAAAGTTCATTGGTGTTGAGAAACATAGAAAGCATACATGTATATATTTTAATTCTACTGTTTTTATTATCAAAACATTTCAAAAATCTTGCCAGAAATATGTATAATGGTTTATACATGTAGCTAATATGGAGTAGGGCTGTAGGATCAATTACAGTTGGGGGGGCATACATTTTTAGTTGGGGGGCACTATCAACTACCAAAAATTCTTTGACAAGAAAAAAAAATTAAAAAAGGTCATGATCATAGTTTATTTTTTAGGGTGAACAAGCAATATATACCAGTTGTAGCTATGCTTTTTGTCTGCAAAATAATCCTCCCCCCCCCCCCCAGGTTCCTATGGCCATGAGGAGCATACCTTTTTACTTGATTGGTGAATACTCGTGCTGCCTGAATTAATGAATTGTTCAAATTGTTCGGGAGAAGTAATACATAATAAGTTACATAATATATGTAATTAGTGAAATACATTATGATTACTATTGTAGAATGAAATGACATTGCATTGTGCAAAACAAACCATGCTATACTATATTTTCTGAAATTCATAAAATAAATGGAAACAACTTTTCATACATAACTTTTCTGGGAAATTATAACCTATAACATTCGCAAGAGCAGATTGGTAGCTATAGTTAAAGTAAAAAAAAATCAAATCAATATACTAGAGGTAACATTTAATTCTTTCACCTAAAAAAAAAATATTACACTGGCATACTATAAAATGAATGTGAAATGCTTTTTTCTAATTATTTAGACGTAGTGATCATACCCAGTGGATAAATTGATGCATCTATTTTGATAATTCTGGGTGATGTAATGCCAGTTTTATTTATTCTTTCAACCTACAACACCTAGCAGCTACAATGATAAAAAAAGATGTACATATAAACAATTTATAAATACATGTGTATACATATAAGACTGACTTATTTTACGTGTAGTCAAACGAATGAAAATTCAAATATTTTATCTTCATTAATAATATATATAAATTCTACAAATTTACAGACTGGTGATACAGATAGAAAAAAGTTGAAAAAAATAAAATAAAATATGAAGCACTGGTAAAAAACTGAAATCTTAAAATTTCCTTTATTTTCGATTGGTATTTTTGATTGTCAGAGGTATAAATTAAAGTTAAAAGGGTCTTGAACTCTTTTTTTTTTTTTACAGTGCACATACATTGTGCACTGTACAGTTTGACTTTACATATATATATATGCACTACAAGTGTGACTGCATCTAAATTTATATTTCATATCAATTCATGTTATGCTGTGCATTTTTTATTATGTAACATGTTTGTATGACAAGAATTCTGTATATTCAGTGCAAATTAAATTGTTAAAAGTGTGCAACTTTTATGATGTGTGGTTGGTGGTGTGTGTGTGTGTGGGGGGGGGGGGGGGAGGGTCATACACACAAGGCAATGCATCACAGTTTGTGACGGACTGTAATAATACATCTTATTGTACATGTACACGGTTATTTTACATTGATGTAAATAATAGTATGTCTAGGCCTACATGTTGATACATATGCGCATACACACCTATAAATGAACAGATAGGGACCTAGGAAGGTGGTGCAGATCGTCCCAGTTTTCCTTGATTTCCCGAAATAACGTCAGCACCTTCTTATCAAAGAGATAAACAAGGCTTAGGTGTCTTATTTTATCCATATCCTTTTTAAAGATTGCCTGCTTGTTGCATTTATCCACTGCATATCTCAGCTCCTGTCGCCACGTTTTAGATGTAAACAACATTCCGTGTCACCGAGTGCAAGCGCTTGGCTGAAGCCGAATGCAGCCAAACGACACCAAAAAAAGAGAATTATTTCGAAGACGTTGTGTTTTTATATAAAAGAAAATCACTAATTTTTATTTATTTAAACATGAAAATACAGACATTCATTACAAATTCTCGCAATCAATGACTTTTTTGAGCTCTATTTCCTTATATAGATCTATCAGGGCGGAGCAACTGTCATGACGTCAAACCTCATTATGACCTCATTACCATATTATCTTCATGTGTAGCCTTAACTGTACTGCGTACCAAAGAGTGATAAATTCAAAATAAAAGTTACCGCTAATTGAAAAAAAGGAAGAAAGTTACATTTTCTGTGTTTTATACTTAAGTTAAATTTGAAAAGTACAATTATATATTCTAAAATAAATTATTACAGGTAAAGAAATTTTCAATTTTTAAAAGCACAATAAATGAGAAGGAAAAATAACATGATACACAGAGTAAAAAAAAAAACCAAATACTTGATTTTTTTTAACTAATGGTGGTTTGACTCATCATAAAATAAGATTTTTACAATGTTTTTGATTCTTTAATATTGATTGAAAATAATGTAATACATGAACATGTAACTAATATCATGTGTGCAAAACTTTCATCAGGTTAATCCGTGTATCTCACCATAAAAAAAAAACCAACAAAACAAAAAAAAAAAAAAACCAAAAAAAAAAAAAAACCAACAACAACAACAACAAAAACAATACACAACATAATTTGAAATACAGTAAAACACGCCTATAGCGAACATGCTTATAATGAATTGACGCTTACAACGAAGTGATTTTCATTCCCATTGGCTTTAAAATATAATTATGAACTGAACGAATATAACGAATTACGTTTATAATGAAGCAAAATCGTCCGTCCCTGACACTTCGTTAGGCATGTTTTACTGTAAATGTATGGACTAATTTTATTAGACGTCACAAAGAATGATCAGCTTAACTTCTTTTTTTAATAAAAAAAATAAGTACGTTGTCGATAGAATACAACACATAAAAAAATCCATGTGATTACTTTTAGGTGCCAATGAATTGTAAAATATAAATATGTATGCAGATGTTGCCAGGGCAATAGGAAATGTAATTCAAATTTATTGTGTTTGGTCATCTGGAAATCGATAAATTGACACGATATAAGGCGATAAAAAAATGTAAATTACCTGTAGTAAGCTCTTGTAAACTTTAATACTGGTGGATTTTAATATAAGGCTAGTTTATCACAGGATATAAAAGTTGAACTAGCATATGTTACTAATG